AAGCAGAGGTTTACATACATGCCTTTAAGAGTATTTACTAATATTTCTTTTAATGTTCACATTTTAAAATTTGTTCTAAAATTTCTTGCCTAATATATGTTCTTTGAAAAGTGAATATTTATTGAGTCAATAAATATTTGTGGAGTGAACAAATGAATGAATGAATGGTGACCTAGAGACACTTACCAGGAGAGTGGCAAACTGATTCTCTTCAGAGGAATCCAAATGAGTGACCAGAACAAGATTCACACTTATGAACTGAGAAGCCCTGGCATCCATGGAAGATGGATGTGGGAAAGATTTAGACCATCAGTCTGTAGATCCCAGAAAATCCTGCAGGACAATCAGTCTTGGAAACAAAGAAAAGAGAAAACTTATTGTTTCATTGATTTTTACTTTTTATTGAATAATTTTCCCCTTCATCTTTGAAAATCTTCCTTCTTCCTTTCTCTTGTCTTTATCATCTATCCTTCCTTCACATTCTCCTCCTTTTCGTTTTCCCTAGTGTGTATTTGCCCATATTGTGTCAATCATTGGACCAATTCATCATTTACCAACCCACAAAAAATAAGTTGTAGTATGCCGAGCATTTTCCATCTGAAAACTACCCACAAAAATAAGTTGCAGTGTGCCGAGCATTTTCCATCTGAAAACTACTCCTAACAGCTGCAATCACTTTCAGCTCTTAAAGTTTATTTAGTCCACTTAGTTTAAATGGGAACTGAATCTTTTCAAACAGTTGCTGAATCCTAATAAAAGATGATGAATAAAATACAGGCATTGAAAACATCAAATGATTAGACAGGATCACAAAGAACATCGCCAATATGGATTCATAATTCATAGTTAGCAGAGTCATAGAAAATGTCTCCCTGCTTCCATTCTAAGCCTTTAAGTTTTAAAATGTCTGTATTAACCATGGAATTATGTAGGATTTACATGCGTGATAAAAGTGGCCCTATAGCAAGATGGAGAGGAACTGGTTGTTAACTTCCCTAAAAAATACAACTAAATAGTGGCAGATTCTGCTTCTTCCAACGTTGTGAATCCAGCTTGCCACTTTTGTTTGTTGGTTAACCATGGGGTTTACCTCAGATCAACTGAGAGAAATAAAGAACCAGCCAAGTAATCACACTGTAGTGTTAGTTTTTGACAACACTTCTGGAGATGGTTCTGGTGCTCAGGTGAGCCTAAGGCACATCATGTATACAGATGGCCAGGTAGCCTCGGTGCGAATGTGTACTCTCTGGACTTCACAGCTTTAAACTGAAGCTTCAGGTGAAAAAATAAAAAGAGAGAGAAAGAGGCGCACTCTAGGTGTTTCAGTGTTATGGTGATTCCAACATTAGTCTACCTGTTGTGGGAAGGAATTGGTTAAGAAGTACCTCTGCTACTCAAGACCCGATATGATCTCCTTGCCTCCAAGGTATGTCTTTCCAGGTGTTCCTGGAATTTTAAGTTATTTTATTTTATTTATTTATTTTTATTTGTTGCAATTGATTCTATTTTAACTCAACATTTCTGGTATACTATGTCCATGAATGCTTTCTATTCTGGATTCTTGGTGTCCTTTCCCCTTCTTTTCCTTTCTTTATTTTTTAATTTTTTTTTAATGTGGTGTTGAAGATTGAACCCAGTGCCTCACATGTGCTAGGTGAGCACTCTGCCACTGAGCTACAACTTCAGCCCTCCTTTCTCCTTCTTGTTCATTTATCCATTCATTTGTTTATTCATAAGCCATCAATAAACATTTATTGCGTCAAATGGAGAACGAATATCGGACTTGTATTTTAAATAGAAGATGATGATGTACATTGTCAAAAGCTTTGAGAGCTGTGATCTAGAATCTGCAGTGAACAGCCATCACTGGCCTGGACCTAATTAGTGAAAACTGATCAGGAGTAGCCTTTCCAAATTACTTTTATCAGGCTAGAGTATGGAACTCTGTCGTAGAACACTTGCCTAATACAGGCAAGGTCCTGGGTTAAATTCCTCCTCAGCACCAAAAAAAAAAAAAAAAAAAAGGAAATATTTCAAATTACTTTTATCTGATATAAATTCATTCAACATAACTTTATCCAACATAAACTATTTCATCTAGAAGGGCTTGTGTGATGGTTCATTGGTCTCCTTGTAGGAATAGCTTCTCTCTCTTTCCTCAGTAGCTGCCTTGATGGTCACTGTGGATTGAGCATGGAATGAGGGTTTTCAAGGTCAAGAGGATTGCTGCCACAGACTCTGCCTTCCAGTGTCAGTGACATGAAGGACAGTAGGTACTGCTGCAATGAGAACAAGTATTGAATTATAAAAGCTAGGTGAGTTTATATTTAGTAGATCCTAACATGTTGACCACAGATAGGTTTAGGATACTCCTGGCTCTGCCACCCTCCTGCCCCACCTGTCTGGCTGTGTGTCTTATCTCTATCACATTTAGCAACCTTAGTATGCTGATCCAGTTAGGTTGCGGTGCCCCTCACTGAATGCAGTCAGCTTTCACAGACAGGTACTAAGATATTGTGGCTGGAACTAGGTGTTAGACTCTAAATTTACACACACACACACACACACACATTACTTACATGTATTTAATGTATTTTATTTCTTCTAGCAAAAACTGCATTTAAATACTGACTCTTTTATGATGGAATTCCAGGAAGAGTAGGAGGGATGTTTTATAGCAAGTAGCCATTCTCAGTCATCATTAAGTGTATTCTACCCCAAAAGGTCTATTTTCTTCTCTGCCCAGTCTATGCATAGTCTCATATTACTGTTTTTCTAGATGAGGTGGAGTTTGTATATGTTTGCTTATCTGATCATTCTAAAAAATGCTTCTAGTTTAATATAACTTTATATGTACCTTCTTCCAAACAGTTTTTCTCTTCATTTTTCTTACATTATGTTGAGATAAATTTGATTTTGCCTTTTATTTTTGAGACACACATATGATTTCCAGCCGCTTGCCAGGGAGCTGATGGGTCCAAAAATATCTGACCCATCAAACATTTAGTGAAATGTCAATCTTATCAACAAAAAGGGGGTTTGAGCTGTCCCTCTCCTTGGTCTATACCCAAAGGACTTAAAAACAGTACTACAGGACACAGCCACATTAATGTTTATAGCAGCACAATTCACAGTGGCTAAACTGTGGAACCAACCTAGATGCCCTTCAATACATTAATGGATAAAAAAAAATGTGGCATATATACACAATGGAATATTACTCAGCAATAAGTGAGAATAAAATCATAGCATCTGCAGGTAAATTGATGGAGTTAGAGAAGATAATGCTGAGTAAAGTTAGCCAATTCCAAAAAACCAAATGCCGAATGTGTTCTTTCATATAAGGAGGCTGATTCATAGTGGAATAGGGAGTGGGAGCATGGGAGGAATAGACGAACTCTAGGTAGGGCAGAGGGGTTGGAGGGGAAGGGAGGGGGCATGGGGTAATTAATGATGGTGGAATGTGATGAACATTATTATCCAAACTACATGTATGAAGACACGAATTGGTGTGAATATACTATGTATACAACCAGAGAAATGAAAAATTGTGCTCTATATGTGTAATAAGAATTATAATGCATTTTGCTGTCATATATAAATTTTAAAAAGTAAAAAAAGGGGGGGCACTTGAAGGGCTAACATTCATGAAGTTGATTTGCTGAGTTTAAACATACTGTGATTTCAAAAAGTTTAGAATTGCTTCAGAATGTGAAATTGGTGAATACAAGATAGATCTATAATTTAGAAAACCATATCTCCTCCTTCTATTAATTCTTTTCCTCTTAGTAGTATTTCATGAGAAAATGCAAATATCAGAATACAGTAGACTATTTTGCCTTAAAGAGGTCCCCCGCACCCCGATTCATTCGTTTGTTTAGTTTGTAACAGAATAGTTTAAAGCAACATTTCTCAGAGTGTATTCCTTGGTGTTCCCTCACCAAAAAACAAAAATACAAACAAACAAAAAAAGCTCTTGTGTTAACTAAATGTGGAAATTACCCTCATAGTGTTTCCTCTCAGAGTCTCACAATGTGTGTCACAATCTGGAGACTCTGAAAGAATGGAGGACAGCAAAGAAGATTTTAACTTACTCTCTTGGTCAGCAATCCCTGTCCTGCCAGCATATCTATTAATACTCATAGATTGTACTTTGGGAAATAATTGAGTTTCTCCCAGGTACTTAACCTTTGAATATTTCTCCTCTTTACAGAACAGAAGCAGTGTAATGTGGTAATTAAGTGTACAGACTTTAGATACACACCACCTGGGTTCCAACCCCAATTTGCTGTTTACCAATTGTGCTACCTTCAGCAATGACCACCTCTTAAGATGTCAGTTTTACCATCTCTAAAAATGGTCATCCAAATAGCACCAATCTCATAGAGTTATTGGAAAAATTTCAACAACTTCTATAAATTACTTTGCATAGTGCCTGACATATAAAAAGTTGTCAAGATTTGTATTATTATTTTTGTATTGTTACTATTCCAAAGGCCTTGGGTGCCTACATGTACAGCTACCCCTAAATATGGAAGTCATTGTGACTTGCTCGAACCCTCTGTCATCCAGATGCAATAGGTTTGCCTTGCAGCTTGGAGAAGTGGTCCTTGGATTTATGAATTAACTCCAAGCACCCAACTCTAAGGATTGTCCAGAGGGCAGAATTTGAATGTTTATATAATAGGAAGAAAAAGAATGGAAACAGTTTCTTTGGCAAGCGACCTGATAAAATAGTGAAATTCAAGAAGCCCTTCAATTAAGAGAGAGAATGTGAACACAACAGGAAGAAGACCTAGTGGCAAAGGTTGAGTTTTTCTCTCTAAGCACACCTCTTACCCAGAGGCTTTCTCTCTTGAAAGCTGCTGACAGAGCTTTGGGGGAAAAAAAAATATATCATTCTCCTTTGGCTGATAAGCCAGGTCCTGTTTTATGTTTAACTTGCTCCAGTGTGGGAGGGGTAGGGGTGGGGATGCGGTATTTATAAAGGGAGCTGGGGCCATGTTCGTGTCATTCCCTGTCTGGGATTCAGCTCCTCTTCTCGAGTCCCCATCCCACCCCCCTCGTTTCCGCCCTCACCCTTGAGCTGAGCGGCTGGTGGGAACTTGAAGGGAGTGGAAAAGACGCAAGAAAGCAAGAAAGCCGGAGGAAGAGGTGTGGTGAAAGTGAAAACAGGCTGCCAAACCAGGGGACTCTCTCCAATTTAAGAAGGAAGTCAGCTGACGTTAGTTAAATTTAACATCCCTCTTATGTGTAACGTTTGACTTCGGAAACAAAAAAATGAACTTTGCAGAGGAAGAGGGCTCTAAGAGATACTGCATTCAAACCAAACATGTGGCTATTATCTGTGCGGTGGTGGTGGGTGTGGGGTTAATAGTAGGACTTTCCGTGGGCTTGACCCGATCGTGTGACTCCACCGACGGCACAGCTCCGGCGCCATCCCACCTTCCTCCCGGGACTAGCCCTTCAGCCCTTCCTCCCACGGCCAGACCTTCAGACGTCCCTCCCCAGGACCCCAGAGCCTGTCCTGCCAGTGAAGATGACAGTGGAGATTGGAAACATTTCAGACTGCCGGACACCGTCAACCCCGTACACTACGACCTGGAGGTGAAGCCCATGATGGAGCAGGACATGTACACCGGCAGAGTGACCATCTCCATCAACGTGAGCGCACCCACGCATTACCTGTGGCTGCACCTGCGGGACACCTGGATCACCCGGCTCCCCGAGCTCAAGAAGCCCTCGGGGGAGCAGGTGAAGCTCAGGAGGTGCTTCGAGTATAAAAAGCAAGAGTATGTGGTGGTGGAGGCCGAAGAAGAGCTGGCCCCCGTCGGTGACAAAGGTCCCTACCTCCTGACCATGGAGTTCGCTGGCTGGCTGAACGGCTCCCTGGTGGGGTTTTACAGAACCACCTACGTGGAGAACGGGCAAGTCAAGTAAATATTAAGTTTCGCTTTACTTCCCCTGAGCCCACAGATCTCCTTTCTAGTTCTTCTCTTTTTTCGCATTCTACGTTTTAATTATTTTATTGGTCTGATCTTTATCTGCCGTCGTCGGTTTTAATTTTCCAGTTCTCCCTGTTAACTCTGAGAAGCAAAAATTCTTGCCCTGCCGTATTTTAAAAACCTATCATAAAATTTAATTGTAGTGAATGAAATGCCTGGAGGGGGAGAAAAGCAGTAACAGTGAGTCCTTCATTCAACCAGGAGGAATCATGATATACTGCATCCCATCCTTTATATTTACACAAACTACTTTCAGATTTTAAAGTTTAGGAGTTCAGTGAATTTCACTAGTGATATTCTTGGGCCATTGGGCAGTGATTTTATACTAAGCTTTTAAAGTGATGTTACACTACAACCTGATGCTATTCCCCATCCTTCATGTATCTAAGTGAGCAATCAGTAAATGTCAATGATTATTCTGTCCATTATATCAAAGAGAGACATTGAAAAACTGCATGAGATCCACAGAATTGTTTTTTATATCTTCATCTAGAAAGGAAGGAAAGAAGGATCATGTCTTTCTTGTGTCCTATGGCCAGAATTGTACTTTTATATTTATTTATTTATTTATTTTTGGTACCAGGGATTGAACCCAGAGGTACTTAACCACTGAGCCATTTCCCCAGCCCTTTTTATTTATTTATTTATTTTTTTATTTTGAGACAAGGTCTTGCTAAGTTGCTGAGGCTGGCTTTGAACTTGAGATCCTCTTGCTTTAGCCTCCCCAGAGGCTGGGATGTACACTACGTCTGTACGTGCACTACCGGCCGGGCTTCTCATTCTTAAATATTTACAGGAATTAGATTTTAAAGATTGTGTAATATCCTGTTGTATGAAGGAACAGAAACTTTCCCCTAATTCCCTGATGTTGGGTATTTGAGTTGCTTCTAGTACTTTATTATTTCAAAAAAGTTAGAAAAGGGCATAGGTATACATATATTTTTATGTATATATCTGTTTATTTCCTTAGGTTAGGATATTATCCTAAAAATAAAAGTAGTAGTAGGCCAAAGGGTACAAATATGTCAAGAAACTTGTAATACTTAGTTTATTCATTAAATAAATAATACAAATTCATTACAGAGAACTTGTAAAACAGAGAAAATTATAAGAAAAAAATAAACATTCCCCGTATATCACCCAAGTATACCTAAGTAAATCACCCAAGTATAGCCATTGTTAGCCTTTAGCCAGATACTCTGAGTCTTTTTTCTGCACACAGATAAACATGATGTTATTGTATTGCATGGTGGTATTGTGTAACATGATTTTTCACTATATCATCAATACTTTAATATGTCATTTGTATTCATCCACAAATGGAATATTTGATAGGCCATTGGATAATACTAATGTAATTTTTCAACTTTTCTACTAAATGTGTGTAAGCTGCTCCTATTTAACACAATGAACAGTTAGTAAATTATATATAAACATTTTCTAATATTTCTATTAAAAATTCCTAGGAAATCGACCAAAATAATGTCCCAAATTACATTCTCATCAGTGATATGTGAACAGGTCTTTTTCTATGAACCTCACCAACAATATGATGGTTTTTTACTTGTTTGCCAATTTCATAGAGGAAAAGGCTTAATATTCTGAAGAATATCCACTTTATAGAGATTGTAAAACTTCATTAGTGTAAAGTAAAAAGAAGCCAAAACTTTTAAATCATTATCACTAAACTTTTTAAACTGCTTTTTAGTTTAAAAAGTTGTGAAGATAATAGAAATTTTATCTGAGGGAAGCCATCAAAATATTTATAGAATAAATAAGATAGAATTTCATATAAGAAAGGTTCAAAATATGGAACAAGTTTCCATTTAATAAATTTCTGTCACATAATTTATGTTTAAAAAAGCATTTTATACTCAAATGTGATTTTCACTCTGGCTCTTTGTGTTATTTTTCTGTACCAGTTAATTTTACCAAAGTAGATATACTCGAGAGCTGCTCACTCTGAAACTCAGCTGACTTAGTTTTTGGTTGGCAAATCCTAGATGAGGAAGGACAGGGCTTGGCTAGATTCTCGAGGAGGCTTGGTCTCTTGAGTTTGCCTGTTTTCATTAGTAGCAGTTGCAGTTGAAACTCTCACATTACACAGATGCTGCCAGTTCCGTATTGCACACACAGCTCTGGAGGCATTCTGGCATCTACTCAATAATCTCATTTAGGCTAAATGGAATACTTTTTTGTTTTTCTTATGATGAAATATTTCAGGCACTTGAGAAAAGTTCATTTATGTTTTGTTTTGTTTGTTTTGTTTTTTTCAAGCCTGTGAGTAACATCTTGACAATGTAGTTAGTCCCTAGTGGTTCTCATCCCCTGAGTCCATATAAGGGTTGCCAAGGTAAGGTCACAGGGAAGCACCATTCTGTCATACTCTTCAGTGAGCTTTGTCTTATGTGATGTTCATACAATTTTAAATATTACCATACTGTTTCATTTTAAGTATGCAGTCAAAGTATATTTTATTTATTTATTCAATACATAAAAATTGGACATGTTTATGGTGTGTTTTTGATACATATATTCATTGTGTAATGTTCCCATAAGGGTGAGCAATCTGTCTCTTCAACCATTTATCATTTTATAGTGGTGAAAACATTCAAAATCCTTTCATCCAGCTTTTATGAACTGTATTATACATAATCTATAGTTACCATATTGGGCAATAGTGTCCTGGAACGTCTTGCTCCTGTATAACTGTAGCTTAGTACCATAACCAGCTTTTTTGCATCCCAGCTCTCTCAACTACCATCACAGCCTCTGGTAACTACCATTCTACCCTCAACGTCTAGGAGAAGTTTTTTAGATTCCACATATGAGTGAGATCCTCCTGAATTTGACTTTCTGTGCCTGTCACTTCACATAATGTCCTCGGTTTCAATCACGTTGCCTCAAATGACAGGATTTCATCCTTTTGCGGGTGAATAGTATTCTGTTATGTATGTATATCATGTTTTCTTTGCCATTCATCAGTTGATGGATACTCAGGTTGATTCCATGTTTTGGCTATTGTGACTAATGCTTCAATTAATGTAGAAGTACAGATATCCCTTTGACATATCAATTTCATTTCCAAATTCTATTTCCTGACCTTTCTACCTTCACATAAAATTTAATTCTGGGGTTGAGTATCAGTTTGGGATATCAATCTGTGACAGTCTCAATGCATTCTAAGCATGATTGCACTCAGTAGTAACCAAAATTACTTGATTTCTGCAAACACAACCAGGACCTGAATTTCACAAAGAGGAGATGAGACAACAATCCATGATTCTTTTTCTCAAGATTGAGAAGTGGAAAAAAATAAGTGGAGCCACTGTAGAATTCCTTAGTAATAATAATAATATCCACATTATCTTAATAGTAACAGAGAGGCTGAGAAACGTTGCATCATTTTTCCTTTCTTACCCACCTCTTCCTACTCTCTAGACTGTTACTTAAGAGTCTAAGAAATACCACTTAACTGTAACCTTTGGAATGTTTTCCTCCCTACATTCTTCCCCTCCACTTGTACTCACTGTGTTATATAGGGTTTCCTGTTGTCTTCTTCCCAAAAAGTTTCCCTCTACTTAAATCTCCAAAGTATGTATTTTCTTCCCCCAAACGCTCAGCATTTCCTTCTCAGTATTTGAATTACCCTTGCACAGAATTTCCCAAGGTTTATTCTATAGCATTCTGGTTGTAAGGAATCTTAGTAGATATTGCCAGAAAAGAATCAAGGGAGGGATTCTGTGGCCAAATCAACCAAAGAAATAATATTGCATACATAATTTGGTTTGTTTTTTAATCGTGGGACTTTTTGGAAACTTTTATTTGATAATATCCGTTATGAATCTTTGACAGACTGCCATAGTACACAGTTCCCACACTGTGTGGAATCTCCAGTGGAGTTCCTGAGAAGAGACAGTGGTTCTCCTGTTTCCCACCTAGTACACAGCGAACGCTCAAATGTTATTGAATGACTACATGGGAACGTTTTCATTCAGGTCCCCATGTGACTGGTGTTCCCCTACATATGCCAAGACTTTGAAATTGAAATTGACAAAGCTGCAGCCCATTTCCCATTAATGAGTTCCACTTTCACTGGTGAAATTTTCTCACTTAGGGTGGAAAATTAGCCTTGGCTCCTTTTCTCCCCTGCTATGGAATGGAAGAGCAGTTTGTCAAATCTTTGTTTGACTTTGGAATGCAATCTTTATACTTTTGTGACTGAGAATCATTAGAATTGACAGTAAGTACAAGAAGAATTTAAAAGAGGAGCAGGTCATTTCTAATTTGGATTTTTCAAGGTGTCCTTCATAACATTGGGAGGATTTCAACTGAGTTTTGATAAATGGGATTTTAATAGGCAGAAGGAGATGAGAAGATAAAAGCAGGTGGATGCCAAGTCAGAAACTCATAACGGTGGTAAGAACATTAGTTTGTGGTCTCTCATTGGAAGAAGCTAGCTAGAGATAACTCTGGGAAACACGCAGGGAAGAAAAAGAAGGCTAGCTATGACAGAAACTGTGAAGGAGGAATTAACTGGTGACTCTTTGGATGTAGATGGAGAAGGAAAGAGATAAATCAACATCTAAGTATTTGGGAAGTACTGAAAAGAGATGAGCATCAATCAGATATTGGTTTTAGGATAGAGAGAAGAGGACACAATGGAGAAAGTAGAGGGAAGGTAGTCAAGATTCCCAGATCAACTGACTGTGGAGAAGGGCTAATGTTATGGGTCTCAGATGCCCGAGGTATGTGATCTGAGTGATGGCTCTTGTCTTTAGTTGATATTGCAAATGGAAGAAAAAAGAACTGGTTTAGGAAGGAAGGCCAACTTCAGTGTTAGGCCTGCTGGAGACCTGTCAGACATCTGAGAAGATACGACTAGTGAGCACTTGAATAAATATATCTGAAGTTTGTAATGAGATTTAGGC